CCATACTTAGTGAACTTGACTAAATGGATGACGGAACGGAGTTTAGGGGAGATGACAAAAGGACAACATTTATTAAGAGCTACAAAGAACAGGAGGGGACGTCGTAAAGAAAAGGATTAGTTTAATGGAAGCACAATCATAGTTAGCGTGAGAGATGTCACTGACAAATATATATGAGCGAGTACGTCTCGGTTTTCGTTGAACGAACCAGAAAGAAATAAAACAAGAAGAAAAAGGCTCTGCAATGGACATCTTATATATTAAGAAAGGAAAGTCGAACAATTTTTCGTTATTCGCTTCTACTTTTCTTTTCTTTTCTTTCTTTTGGAATTTGAATTTTATTTATTTAAGAGAGTGCTGAAAACAACAATGACAGAGAAAGAGAAACAAACAAAAAAATAGTAAAAAAAAATTAAATTAAAATAGAGAGAGAGAGAAAATGAACGATAAGGAACTACAAGCAGAGGCAGAAAAATGTTTTGGTTAGCGAAATTTGATAAGGCTCGCATTCTTATCACTACTTAAGTGTAGAGACTTGCTTTGGCGTTTCTGAAGAATGTCAGGCAACTTCATTTCGCCATTCGTTGTCACAGCCGGGCAGTACATCTGCAAGCAATGAAATATGAACCGTTTCATTTTTAAAAGTTACAAAAATTTTAATATGGAAGCTCAAATGGAACTCAATTATCTGGAAGAAAAAAAATGTAATTTGTTTATCAGTTCTTGCGAACGCTTAACAATACAGAAGATATGCTGTTTGCACCAAATCTTGTCAGATGTTTCTAATTCCTTTGTTCCTTAAGTGACATTACAATGTCCACTCTCTTTAGAACGTAGGCAATCATGATTCTCCATAGCTTCTTAAAATTGGTAAAATATGCTTTATTGTCATGATTGATTTGGGGAATTATTTGAAATAGTTTTCATTGTCTTTCGCAATGATTTTAAAATTAGAGTTGACTTTCTCCGAAACTGTTTGACAACAGAAGCTAGAGAACATAGCCTGCCTTGCTATTTAATCAATAGATGGGGGAGGAGACAAGACGATTTAATTTTTTTTTCTAACAGTGTTAGTTCAAAACACAAGCGAATTTGAACTCAGCTGAGTCTATTATTGGGTCTATCAAATATATGTGGACTTCCTTAACAGTAGTTAGTATAGGACCCCAAAGATTGCAAATTAAAAATAATAGTAATAACAGTTAGGGAGAAGTCAATAGAACGTAAGTAACAGGGTGTATCAAAATTACTTTTACAACTATGGGGGCGGATTCCTCACATCAAAATAAGGACAAAAGTCCACATAAATACATGTCCGCAAATCTTTCCTTTTTAAGTTATTAAATTTAAAGAAAGTTAACGGTAGATGGCGCTGTGTTGCCATGTAGACTAGTTTACGTTTGTCATTTGTGTTCCTTTGTGGCTAGTCTTTCTTCAATGTTTAACGTGTGTAGTAGTGAGTTAACTGAGAAGTGTTCTGTTCAATAATGGCAAGGTTGATTAGGTCAGCCAGTCAATGATACCCCATAGTTTGTAAAAACATTTTTGAAACACCCTGTATATTTTAAAAAATGTTAATGCAGATAATGTGTTACTGGATAACGTTTATTCACATCACAATACCAGGACATCAGCATCCTTATTGGCATAAGTAAACTCGTTCAGTCTATTATCAACAAGAATGTAGTTGCTTACCACACTAGAAACAAACTCCCACGCGATAAACACTATGGTTTTCGTTCCTCTAGATCCACTGTTGATGTTTTAACTGTTATTATGTACATAATCTATTTAGTAATTTTCTAGAGCTCACTAAAACCAATTTTTTTTGTGATGAATTTTAGCAGGATTAAATGTTCAGGGAAGCAAACAAGAGTCTATTTCTCAAAGTATCAGTTATTGGATAAAAGCTGAGTGGAACTTTCTTACATTTGGAACACGATGGAAATGAATGGTATTCAAGTCCTTGGAAGTAATATGACGTGACATATCAATAAAAGGGTAAACTGGTGGAACTAGAAAATGGAGTTCATCTGAACATTTACCATGAAAATAATGACAAAGTAACACTAGACTTGCGACGTTACGTCTGCAGGGAAGAAGTTGCCGCGTATATAATTCACCCCTTCACAAAACCGTGTAAACAATTTTGAGCTGTGTCAAAGCTGGAATGTGATGATTGAGCTGCTGCAGCCCAGATATTTCAGTAATATTCAATTTACAACATAGAATGTGTCAGATACTTTCTGGAGCGATATAGTAAACTAACAGTGTTTACAAATTATATATATATATATATATATATATATATATATATATTAACACCTACGTGGATGATCTAGTGCAGTATATGAAATATTTTCAGACACAATTCATTTTTGGAATTTAATTCTTTGACTTATTCTAGCCCGTTGTGTCAAGGTGTTAGTATATCACGTGTATACTAATGTCTAATATGGTTGGTGGAGCGTGGAGAACTCCAACATTTTTCTTCTCCCTACATAAGTAACACCATTAATGCAAGGTTCATTTGTTGTTTTTTTTAATCAATTTACCTCGAGCAAGGCGATAATGCCACTAAGACTTACGGGGTTGAAAGAGAATGAAGGAACCGAAAGCCCAATCCTAAACAGGAAAAAAGGGCTTAACCTCTACTCCTGTTCAAAAGACAGGAGAGGAATGTGAACCGTATGATAGGCGAACCTATCTACCGATATGTCGATAGATACAAACATTATCCTCATAAGCTCCATTCGCATTCAAAGAAAAATCCTCTCAATATAATATACTGATAAACTTTATCACAAAACAACTTCCTTTACTCAGAACTCAGGTAAACGACTTGATAAAAAGTTTGTATCAAACAACAAATCAAGAACTTTTTTTTCTTTATTAAAGCCTGTCATCATATCACAGGCATTTGGCTGTGATGCATGTGTTTGATATACCCTTATCAGACTGGGTGCCATGATAGGTATAGTGACATTCATTGTATCTTAGTCTCACTTTTTGGGATGACCTACTAACTCACTCAATAATAATGATAATAATAATAATAAACATTCATAGCAAATACTGGTAATAGAAATAAAAAAAAAATGTGACACTTCAAAACTAAAACTGTTACTGCTGTGGTTGGAGATTCGGGTCTGATAAAGAAAGGAATTCAACAGCAAATCAAATCCCTGGTGTATCATGTCGTAAGGAAAACCAACTAGGTCTTTTACTGTTGAAATAGTTAGATGCAGCCGCAAGTTCTACTCTAATAGTTTCTTTTCTCGCACTTCTCGCCCGTGGAATTCTTTTCTGGTTTCTTGTTTACCTGCCGCCTACAATCTTCAAAAATTTAAATACTACGCTAATTGTCAGCTTCTGTATTTTTGAAATTTGTTATTTTATTGTAGTTTTTTCTTACTAAATTTTTCTCATATTTCACCCCCAGTAACTCATTGCGTCTTAGCGGCATTATCGCCTTGCGTGGGGTGAAATGATTTAAAAAAAAGCATACGGAACACTCATAACATTTCGAGAGGTATCACATGAGCAGGAAATTAAAAATAAGTTTAATACACGCTCATAAATACTGTAAATTAATATCTATTTGTCTATTTAGATAATTTTATGTCGAGCACAAAGTTACATGAATGATATAGCTAATAGGTGATATAGCTAATCTGTCTATATTTCTGAAATGAGATATTGTAATTATTTATACCAATTACATTGTTCGTACTTCATCTTTGTTGCCATATTCACAATGTTTCGGCCGTTGTACGCTCCGGCCTTCATCAGGTGATTGGAATTTCCTCGAGCCCTTTATTTCGTCCACCTGTGTAGATTGTTCTAGCCTCTTCCGTATATCTCAGTTTCAGTTATTTCCCTTTAGTAACTCAAATCTCCAACTTTTTTGTTCACTTCTGCTGCAGCCAGGTATTGAACTCACAACGTTTTCTGATCAAGTCACTGGATTACTTCAACTAACGCTTTTATCCACTGATTCATGTGTCCTTGAAGAAGGCTGGAGTGTACAACGGTCGAAACGCCGTGTATATGACAACAAAGATCAGGTGAACAGTCCGAACTATGTAACGAGGGTAAATAATAGCTAACGAAGAGTTGAACCCCTGTGCGATGGGATACGTGCAATTTTTAAGAACTAAAGGAAATTTGATGAGAGTACCTGTTCCATTTCCCGAGGAAAAATATGTCTGCAAGTGTATTTTCAAGAATTCTGTTTATTTTACAGAATGAAAACTCCAATTTAATTGAACAAACAGAAGGAAAACAGTGTATCCAGAAATTACTGTTTTCTTTGTACTTGCTGAGGTTGTGACAGCGATTCTCACGAGACACGATTTAGGGGTTGAAAGCTCAAAGTTTTCCGTTTTATCACTAGAAGCTAGCCACCCAGAATGAGCTCAACGAAGTTATTTATTTATTCGGCAGTAAAGCTGTCAACTGATACAATAAGTCCCAGATTGTTTTGTCTGTATAAGTTCGGCTGACGAGAGAAAGTGGCAAATAAATAAACAAATTAAAAACAAAAAGAAAAGATAAAGAAAGTAATAGGACAATTACAATATTTGGTTACTGCAGCATATATATTAGAGGTGTGCAAATGTTTCTAGTGTTCTTTTTTGAAAATTAGAATTCTGAATCCTCTTTTATGTGACGTGTTCCTTCAGGACGTAGGCGATCTCTCCCGTGTTAATAATTTTTTTTGTCATTTCTTCCAAACCCTGTTCTACAATCCGTTTGCTCAAGCCCAACAAGTATGTTACGTGGTGTTTTTCCAAGACCTCCTTCCTTATTATGTCCGAGAAATTTCCACTGCCTCTTCCTGATGATAAGTATAAGTTTCCTTTTTGTTTCCATTCTCCCCAAAACCTCGTTGTTGCTCACATGTCCGGGCTATGGTATCCTCAGCCTCCGTCAAGAGACATTTACACACACCCAAGAAACTTGCTTGGCTGTAAAAGATCTTCATGGCTGAGCAGAGCCTACGGCCATATCACGTTAAAACATCGGTTGCCGTGCGATCACCGAAGTTAAGCAACGTCGAGCCTGGTCATTACCTAGATGGGTGACCGATTAGGAATACCAGGTCGGGTTTGTTAGATTTGCGTACAGGCAAATACCTTTGTGAAAGGCATGAATACATGTAGCAATTTCAATCGTAAAAGCCTGAGACTAATCTAGTACTGCGATTAAATTCATTAAGTTTAACTACCATAGAGGAAATAATATTTATTTTGTTTCAGTACAAAAATTTGACACAAAGCCAAAAGAGGGATAGGAGAAAGTTGGTTTTCAGTATGCCTTGTCTTAAACTTAGCTAGCCACGATTACTGACCCAAACTTACCACAGTATTTCTTACTTACCATTCGTACTACAGTCATCATAATACCTCCTAGTCTCTATTTAGCCCTAACTAGTTCCCATATGTGCAATTTGTCTGGGGGAATAAAATAACAACATTTAAAAATGAAACCTCAATGAATATTTACAATGAATAAAATTTATATACAAGAACATAAACAAAATAGTATTATTAATAAAAAAAATAATAATGTGGGACGAGGTAATTAACAACAATCATTCGACCAATCACTCACTCAAACACACACTGATTGAAACACAAAAACAAATACGAAATACACACTCAAATAACGAAAAGCGCCTCGCATCTACCAGAAAACTAACTTCTCTATCACCTAACGGAATTAAAATATAGAAAGTGGGGATAGAAATAAAAAAGGGCAATGAGGATACATTCCTTAGCTAAGTTAACTTGATGGAAGAAACTAAGGATAAAACACCTAAACTGTCCTATTTTGGGCGGGATTGTCTATGTTCATGATGTAATCTAGAAAGGGTTACTGACTGAGGAATAATCAAAACGGAGGTTGGAAATGAAATGGTAATCTTTATAACATCAACAATAAAATACTCGTCAGCGGCGTAAAGTAAACCACTGCTATTGGTGCCTCATTTACAATAGTGTCCAACGTATTTGTGAGGATTGGGACATACCCATTAGTGTTCATAGTCATGGTATATAACAGTTTCACAATATCCTGATGCCTAACCGACATCAAAATGCCAATTCAAGTCAGTACATTTTACTCGACACAGACGAGCAAGACTCACCGACCTTTTGCCAAAGACAGTCGTCGCCTTTCCGTCCTAATTTTAACATTAAGCTGATGCTTAAAGTACAGCATCAGTTGGGAAGAGGTAAGATTCTCGTCCGCTTAGAATTCCTTCTTTCGCGTCATCCATATCACGACTCTCATAACAAAAGAACACATAGTACTCAGCCTTAGTCAAGGACACTACCACTTTGCTACAAACAGAACAGGCCTCGAGGACAAAGAACCTTCTGCTCAGCATCCGAAACATGATATCTTCAATAAACTTGCACAACGGGACTACAAGACTGCAGTGGAAGATGTGACCAAGGGTCTTCAAGCACTCGCCGCAGAGAACACAGATTTTTTCAAGTCTTTCTTATCACTAGCCAGGTGATGCATTTCAATCTGGGCGCCAAGGCCAATTGGACCGAGCTTCCTGTATCGTAAGACCGAGCTCGCTTATCAGATCATATTGAACTGACCCCTCACTAACACCTGATATAATGCTGTATGGGACAACGCTTGGACGTCGAAAAGGCCATCCGTCGCCCATAAGAAGTGCTTGAGAGCAATCTGGTATTCACGACAGAACACTCGCTTCGAGATAAACGTGGGGGGGGGTTCCTCCTCGCATGAGTGTACACTTTTCGGAGATGTGAAGTTCTTGCGGGCGTCTTCCTTCTTCTAGAATTAGCCCGCACCATCCAATTGCGAACACATTCTAAGAACACGATGCGAAGCGTATAATGACGAATCTTAAGGAGAGTCATACCCAAACCGCCTTCAGAAGAATGGAGGTAACAGATCTCCCAAACTACCTTGGGAGCCTTGGCTTCCCACAAGGCGAACAAGACTAACTAAACCCATTAATGTGATACACGGGAGTGGAAGTATGGAGTGTCAGTAAAGGAGAATCGGGTAGATGTGCCAGGAAAATACTTCCGCCCTCTTTAAGAAAAGATTCCTCTAAGACTAAAAGAACTACGACCTCAGCCTTCTCCCGCTCTTCCGACCAATTCATTTCCAAGAGGAAATCGGGACCGAACCAAACATCGAGTATCTTTACCGGCTCGTCTGTCCAGAAGAAAGGCCTCTAAAAGAAATTCCCTTATTCGCACTCAACCGCAAACCAACAGACTTATCGTGGTTGAACCTTGTCCCTGTCATCATCTCGTATCCTTTGTTCTTCATCAATCTCGGCTCTGCTCGACACAAGAAGCGAAACTTCGTCGGCATAGACGGAGTACCTGGCCGAGGTGGTAACACCATGTAGGGAAATTCAGCGAAGGTTCGGATTCGTCTATAATTTGCGAAGGAAGGCTCCAATGCATGAACGTACAGCAAAGGCGAAGGCGGACAACTTTGACAAATGTAATGAGACAATACGAAAGTCTCTGATCGAACTCCCATTCACTTTCACCAGCTGGTGACGCATACAGAAGTCTAATCCAGATGAGAAAGTACGGTCCAAAACCGGTTGCGGAATGGTCAGTCTACAGAAATCGATGGTCAATCCTATCGAATGCCTTGGACTGATCTAAATTGATCAGCGCGACTTCACTGTTGGTTTGCTCGATGATCAAGCGTACCAAATGAAGGCTGTCCTGAATAGTCCAACTTTTCACAGTCCAAGTCTGTTCGGAGCCAATCAGACTAGCGAAGACAGCCTGTAAACGGCTGGCTAAGATCTTAGCTAAAATCTGTATTTAACATCATCAAAGGCCGAAATCCCATCGCCAACGTTCTTGTCTTCACGTACCAACTTGATCACACCGTTGAGGTATAGACCCCTGCTTCATCCACTTGTTGCAAATCAGTTCCAGGAGAGGAATAAGAACGGGCGACTGCCTCAAGTACATTTCGTAAGAAAGACCATACAATCTAAATGTTTTGTTCCGGCCAACCACCTTCAGCGCTTCCCAGATTTCCGATTTTGTGATAAAGCCCTCTCACCCAGCTGTTTCAGCCGCCTCGAGGTGAGAAAACTCGGACAAATAGGCGTCGAACTGAGCGGTACTCAGACCGGGCTCCCTGGTGAACAGATCCTGAAAGTAGTTACGAAAAGTCTCACATATGCCCGCGTTTGTTGTCACTGTCCACTTATTCCTCTTCATGCAATTCAGCGACCATATTTATCGTCTCGGAAGACAGACATTTTAATCTATCACTAACTAGCAGAGCTTGATCCTTCTTGATAAGCTAGCAGGCCAACTCTGCCCTAGCTAAGGCTACTGCCCCACTATCAAGGGATTTGATCGCCCGATCGACTTTTGCCTCAGATGACGTTTGCACTGCCAATCTAACTAGATTGAGTCGCCGACTATAGTCAGCAGCAAACGACCCAGTAGTGGATTTTAAATTATCCCACCAATAATTCCCATCCACAGCCCCCGTCAATTCCTGTTGTAGCATTAGTAGTAGTAGTTCATTTTCCAGTAATCAGCCATTTTAATTTTATACTAGCTAACTTAGTGCCATGATCAGTGCGATTAGGTTTGATCATCTGAATTGAACATGCCCCAGCTAAGGACATCAATGGCTGTCCCATAAGAGCCTTGGCCCATCTCACTCTTGATGGTACAATCAGGAGACAGGCTACCAACGTTCCAGGGGAAAAGGAGTTTTAAAGCTCTATACAGGGAAGGTGGGAACGAAAAAGAGGAAACTTCCACAACAATATTTATTTAGACGTTTAACATGGGGGATAAATGCCAAAGGTGGCATTCGCTTCTTCTATCATCGCCCATATTTTGGGGGCACACTGGCCTGATCTCACGACCGTTAGAATTCCCTTTGCTTTGAGAAAGGTTTTTGGGTTTTATACATCCATATTATTCAAACCTTTGGTATTTAGGAGGAATTTAATTTTCTTTTTTTTCGAAATTGCATTAAAGGTTTATCAGCCTGATCTTTGGATACCCGACACACATCTTCCCCAGTGTTGAAAAACAGATTTAGATTTGATTTTTCTCCGATGAGAGTCCTGTTGAATCTGATGAGGGGTTTTGCTGACTTACTTGATGTTCACATTTTTTTTTTTTAGTGTTTGGTGAATTGATGGGGTCTGTGCAGAGAATAAATTTTTGGATTGAGATCTGAGAATAGGTGCCTTTTTGAGGGTGGTCATTTTGGATTTACTTATTTTGTCAATGGAGGAGGAGCCATGGGCTGTTTTTTTGGGTGATGGGGAAAACGGCGCGAGAAAGAAAGGCCAGCTATACACGTACATGATGATTGTTATTTTTTCTTTTCTCCTTCAGGACTTCTGTAAGTTTTTCGAGATTCTTATTTTTCTCATATTTTAATCGCTGCTCTCTGCTTTTCTCCACGTAACAAACCGGGGCATCGCCCATGGAACTTGGAGAGGAAGTGGGGCTGTTTGTGCCTTTACCCGTAGGGGCTCCCGGGGACAGAGGTCCAGCTCTCTGGAGATTGTCTTTGGTTTTACCAGCGACCTGCTACTCCGCCTTTTCCTTATCCCCAACTGCACAAGCGCCGGGTAAAGTTTTTTGGAGAATGGGGGCCGCGAAATAGACCCAATCGGGGGTTTTATTGCACTGGTCTTGGACGCTGGCATATCTATTACAGGCCAAACGGAATTAACAGACTCGGCCAAAGGGAGATTTGTGTCAGTGGGTGCCAGAACTACATAGGCCTTCTTATCTGGACAGGAAGACGAGTGGTGACCAGTCTCTCCCCACTTTCAGCAAGTTGGTTTTCAGCCTGTCATAATGACCGACATTTTCTGTCCTCTACATCCAGACAGTTGGGTAGGGGGAGATGAAGGCATAAACTAACCTAATCTCGAAGCTTCATTCTCCGTTAAAGTCGTCGGGGGTAGCACTGAATATCTCTCCAAATTGAACCAGATCAGCAGCCAAGTGCTCCCTTAAGATCGAGGAGGCACCTCGAATACTGAAACAGGGGGGGCCGTCGACAGTACTCATTTTCGGTTTTTAATATGAGTTCTT